AGGTGTCAGTAAAATGGCCTTTCGTCATTTAATTGAATTTACATATACAGCAAAGTTAATGATACAAGGAGAAGAAGAAGCCAATGATGTATGGAAAGCAGCAGAGTTTCTACAGATGCTAGAAGCCATCAAAGCCCTGGAAGTCAGGTAAGTACTTACTCCTCTAGTGGGCTGCAGATAGTCATATTTAGTCATTTTCACCAGTCCTTGAAGAACTGACAGTTTGGAATTAAGAATATTTTACTGTAAAAATTCTTGTGGATACTCACTAGTCTTTCATTTGTACTTGATTTCTTTTTCTTGTTCTAAGAGTAAATAAAGTAGCATCTTTTGTAGCTAATAGAATGAAGACAAAGCAGATTCTTCTAACATCTTTTAAGAAGGAGGAGTACTCTGGATCCCTATAATCCTTTTGTTGGTTTTAAGATGTTAACTATTTCTGCCAAGTAATCAAAAAGGGATTTGAGGTGACTTCTGGTTTAAAATAAGTGAGGAAATTGGTATTTAGGGTCTATATACTTGGAAGCTGGGCTAAATGTAGCTCATCACCCACTACAATAAGAGAAAGAACTCCAATAGATTATTCTGGGTTATAAAATAGGTTATGTGTTGTTGTGTTTTTTTAAATGCATATAAAGTGCTTAGCATGGTATTTGGCAGATCGTGTTCCAAACGCAAACTGTTGTTACTGTGATGGTCTCTTGGTTCTTTATGTTGTTAGTTAGCGGAATTGGTTCATGTATAGGGCTTCCAAGGAACAGCTGGTGGATTTGAACCACTGACCTTGTGGTTAGCAGCCCAGAGCTTATCCTGCAGTACCACACCAGGAGTCCTTTTTTTATGTTGTTAAGTGCCGCTGAGTTAATTCTGACTTATAGTGACCATGTATAGGGTTTCTGAGGAGCAACAGGTGGGTTTGAACTGCCGTGATTGTCATGACATCAAAGCGCAGTTTGGTAAAATCAGTTTCACATAAGGGCAAAATCATTTAATCCACTCACTTGTTGGTTTGGCTGAAGGATGAAATTAGCTGTTAAGAATAATTGAACTGTAGTCATCCATAGATCCATTTCTCCTAATGGGTATTAAATTAGTTTGATGACAGATTATAAACTTTTCTGACAAGAAATTGAACATTTTCTGGTGCCAGAGAATATCAGAAAGATGTTTAGTTGTGTTTTATTGACTCGCAAAGGCTTT